CTCATCCTCACCGACAAGTTTGGTACCAGATGATCGATCTCGAAGGGACGGAAAGTTTGAGTGGCATGGGCGTGGCTTCGATCCAACATTTGATCCGCTGACCGTGCGCGTAGAAAGTAGCGCCACTTGCCATTACATTACCTCCGCCGACCCTCACAGTGTTTTTCAAAATGTTACTCCGCCTCAATCTACATTTTTCAGATGCTAAGGAAGTGCCAGGCCATACCGTGTCCTTCTCCGGTTATCCAGCACAACTCTCCTCTGCAGACGACTATACTTTGACCAGCGCTGGACTGGTAATTTTTTCATTCATTTATTTGCTACTATTGAACAAAAGGAGGCTACGAGTTATCACAAAAAAGGAAACGATCAAATAATAGGAAATATTTAAGAAGCAATATAATATGGGGGGGGGGAATTGACTCGAAGGCAATAATCAATTAGTATTGCACAGCTAAGGAAGGACGGTTCTTGATTACATTGAAAGTACGAAACTATCACCGCATTCCTAGGGTAACGCCTTCCCATCTCCGTGCTGTTTTTCTACCGTATAGTTGAACAGCTAAAAAAAACTGATTGACTTGTACCGTAAGCAATTTCAGGGCTCCATCGAGACCACGATTGCCATTTTCAACAAATCCCTGTACACGGACACATATATCAAGCCGGAGGGTCAAGTGCATTGTTGGCTCCGATCAACGATTTCGAATTATCTGACGAAGTCAGTTGGTTATAATTTGTGAATGTTTTAACGCTTTTCTGGTAAACACCGCAAACTTCTTCTGGGAGGCGGGATTTTTGGTACCGCCCACAGGCCTCGCTGTTACACGAACTAGCTTTTGTACTTCAAGCGGTGTCCTTCATATCCTTGTCTAGCCTTCATTGGAGGTGTTCACCCAGATCTTGCCAGCATCTTTACCAAAAATACCTTTGATTAAACATTTCATGTGACCCGAATAGGGTTTGAGTATACCACAACATTTCTCGGCACTACTTACCCTTCATTGCCATGGTTTTCCAAAATTGGGACAGAACTTTCTCGAAATTTCTCTTCCTTGTGGAATTTAGCTGCAAATTTGTTTCAGTGGTAATCTAAGTAGTAGAAAAAGAACCTTGTTGCGATTATTGGACCAACGCTGTCTATAGGAAGGGGTGAGCTAGGCAAGAAGCTAGGGGGACAAGAAGGGATACCCTTGGCGCTCAGAGTCTATCGTTCTATGATAAGCGTGCAGGGCAAGTGAAAAACAGGCAAATCCTTGTATTCTACATGAGCCTGAAATCGGGATAACGTCGCTGGTTACTTTCTTAGG